GGTATTTGTTATTTGCTTTTCTTTGTTCTCTAAGGAACATGAAGAGCAATCAGATTTGTATTTTAGAATTTCCAAAGACAAAGTCATACTTACTGAAACATAAGAAAAGTTATATACAGTGGGGCTTTCACTTACGAGTTTAATTCGTTCTGAGACCGAGCTCGTTAACTCAAATTACTTTGTCAACTCAATGCAAAAAATCGGCTGAGAGACAGCTGGTATCTCAAAAAACTCGGGACACTCGTAAGTCAAGGCCCCACTGTATTTCTCTTGATAAATTGAAACTACTCCATTGATTGTAATCAGTGATTGAAATTTACAGTAGTCATTAGGGATTTATGGAGATTTTAGGCGACTTTGTAGAATATGCTTTAAGATTCCCAACACCTGGGTGCTGTTGTTAAATCTGCTCTAGTTACTGTGCTCTTTGGTAAATCACAGTGTTGAGAGACAGTTTCTTTATCTGTCAAGTGAGAGTGAAAGACTTAAACTTGAACCCCTCCCAAAACAGGATCAGATAAGACTGTGACATTTCTTTGCCAGTTGTGAAGTGCTCTGCACATGTAAGTGGTTTGTGTTTTGTTTGCTTTCTAGGTCACGGCTTTAAGACAGCTGTAAACTTTTAACAACTATCTGTTCTTATAGATTGAGGTTTTTCGTTGTTTTTTTTTTAACCTTGTAACTTATATATCTTTATTAACAGATTATAATTTTGGTATCAGGGTGATAGCATTTTTTGTGATTGGCATATTTTACTCATTATACTTTGTTTCAAGACAATATTTTGTCATTCACACACTTTTTGAATTATCTTCTATTCCTCAAGATTAATGTAGATGAATGAGAGCTAGATTGTTTTTTAACATACAGAGTTTACATTTTTTAAATATCAGAGAGATATATTGTAGTGTATGTTTGTTTTGATTGTTTTGCCAAGAAAAACTAACTTGAATTGTAGGAGCTCTACATATATATTTTAAGTGGTTGGATGAAAAAGAACTGAACATATCAATTGTACTCTTTAAATATGTGTAGTTTATTGTATGTCATTTATACCTCAATGAAGGTATTTTTTTTAAAAGAAGAATTGCAGCTGTTAAATAAATGTCACTTTTGGAGGGGGGTTTCTTTTGGGGAGTTCCTTTGATTTGCCTTTCATCTGTTTCCTCCATGTAAAATTAAGATCATGCTGTCTCTAGTGTGAGTTATGAGAGTTATATAATTCCCGAAAATGAGGTTTTGAAAAAGTGATTGTTATCACCCTCAGCATCACTTTCAAACCAACTAACACCTTTAACTAATACCCTTTTCCAAGAGATTATTCATCTAGATGCCAAAATAATTAAGTAGGCTGTTCCACTTTTAAAACTTTTTAAATGAGGCATGAAATATAGCATATATAAAAATGTTAAGCTTCTGAATACTAAAATGTTTGGGGGCTCTTGGTAATGCATCTGCAAGGGAAATCCACTCACTCCAGAAGTGGTGTTCATTCATTAACAGGGGTTTTTGGATGCCTGCGAGAAGGGCCCTCTGTCTGGTCACAAACTCTCTGGGCTCCGGTTTGTCCTGCAAGATGGAGCGCATCACATGGTTGATTCCAATGAAATCTCTTTCATCCGTGCAGGAGAAGGGGCGCTTAAACAAGGTATGCTGTGTCCTAGCACACGCCGCATCACTCACTGTTTTTGCTTGCTGGTTTGGTCTTCCCTCCCCAGGGCACTGGGTGGCACAGCAGAGAACCTGGCTAGTCCTGAGCAAATATTCATAGAACAAAAGTGAGGATAGAGTACTGTATAAAATTAAAAGCCTACTTTGTTCTCCTAAATTACCTGTTAATTTTTATATGTTGTTTTTCATAAAAAGATAGAAATATTCAGATTTCTAAGAAATATTTTAAAGACACATTAACTACAGTCATATTTCTTTGTGATTTAGTCAGATATCAGGAACTCCATAAATTTATAGATAATTTTTGCTTGTAGGACATTGAAGGCTTTAGGCATTTTGAGGATGACACCGTATTTTGAAAGAATTCAGTAAACCTTATTCACAGTGCAGACTTCTTGCTAAACTGCTAAAATTGCCAGCCTTTCTCACACAGAATAAATGCATATTAAAACACATATGAACAGCCCTAAGCAATTGCAAACATATCTGATTCATTGTTTTTAAGAGGGAAAAGCAAATGACAACACAGCAGTTTGGCTTCAGGGTGATTTAATGAAGAAATTTCAAAGTTGTGTCCTGAAATCAGGTGGGGGGCAATGGTTGGAAAAGGTTGCTCAGATTTTGGCTAGGTTGCTAATTTCTTATTTTACTGAAACTAATGGAAGATATTAGTAATTTGTGTTTTTGTTTCTCAGTTGTGAGAGAGAGAATCTTCCCATTTTCTTTATGCCAGCTGTCTATTAAAATTGCAGTTGAAATCTGTGATCTAGAAATCCTGTCAATCTGAAGATTATGTTAAACGAGAGGCCTGGTGCGTGCACCAGTAGGGTCCTTTGGCTTGGCCTGCGGGATCGGGCTGAAACCGGCTCTCTGACATCCCCCGAGGGGCCCTGGATTGCAAGAGGGTGCAGGCCAGGCTGAGGGACCCCACCAGTGCACAATCGGGGCCAGGGAGGGACTTGGGAGGTTGGCCAGCTGGGGAGGGACCATGGGAGGGTTCCAGAGCGTGTTCGGCCCTCCTTGCTCAGTCCCAATAGGCTGGACCCCAGCAGCAAGCTAACCTACCAGTCAGAGCATCTGCCCCCTGGTGTGCAGTGCACGTCATGGCGAGCGGTTGAGTGGCCTTAGCAGATCATTAGCATATTATGCTTTGATTGGTTGAACAGACAACTGGACACTTAGCATATTAGGCTTTTATTATATAGGACAGGAAAAGGGAAATAAAGTTACAAAGAAAATAAGACTTTTTTAGCCATGGTTGAGATTAAAATACCTGCCTCTTCACTTTAATCTTAAACTGATAGCTTAGTTGGATTAATTTAATATTCTTTTCAGCTTTATTGGAGTACTAGAGGCCCGGTGCATGAAAATTCATGCACTGAGGGGAGGGGGTCCCTCAGCCCTGCTTGCCCCCTCTCACAGTCCAGGAGCCCTCAGGGGATGTCCTACTGACAGCTTAAGAGCGGGCCTAAGCTGCAGTCTGGTCTCCCTCTGCGGGAGGCAACAGCTGATCAGGGGAAGGCACCACCCCCATCACCCTGCTGATGCTGCCACTGCTGGCCACAGCGGCTCCAAGGCCTGAGCACCAGGGCCTCGCAGCCGCTGGGGCTCACGCTGCCTGAGCCCAGGCTGCCGTGAGCCCCAGGCCTCACAGCTGCTGTGGCTTTGTCTGATGGATGTCCAGATGGACACCTGGAAGAGATCTGCCCTAATTAGCATATTACCCTTTTATTAGTATAGATAATTGACAAAATTGTAAGATATTTAAAGTGTGTAACGTGATGATTTGGTAAATGTATGCCTTGTGATACTTTTTAAAAGTGCAGTTAAACCAAATTAGAAGTCACCAATAGTTCTATGCTGGTTCTCATCTGGAAATTGGTAGCTTTCCTGGAGATAAGAGTTTAGAGGTTACATAAAGCAAGAGAATTGGTATGGTTATCAATTAGCAGAGTCTTGTCTTTTTTAATTGTTTCTATTTGAAATATAGATATAGATGTATATGCCTATAATATACACATATACATCCATGAGAAAAGCCTGTATATCTGTGAATATTAACTAAAAGTTGAATATATACTATTTAACTTTTAATTATTTAAGTGTATAGATATGATTAAGTATGGATATGCAAAGGAAAAGCACTAGATGATAATTGAATTGAGAAGTTTGTGGCGGGGGGGGAGGCGTTATTGTTGTTTGCCAGGTAAACGTGCAAATAGGCAGGGTGTTAACATGAAAAGTGAATTACTTTGATGTTTCTTCATCTAATTCTTATTTCTCCATGAAAGACAGAAATATAAAGGGTAAAATAAAGTTTTTGCCAAGCTCAGTAAGAAAATCAGCTCTTAAGCATATATCTCCATTTAATGCCATCTGAGAGTTTTAGGGTGAACATTTTGGGTAACCAAACTTCTCAATTCAATTATCATCTATTGCTTACCAACAAGAAAGAATTGGCTTACCTTGGTCAAAGACTTAACAGTTAGTGTCTTTACTCCTGCAGATTTTCAGAGAGAATAAGTAACTCAACTGCATGATTGAAATGGTAAAGGACTTTAGTATGGTTTTAAGACCCCTTTTATATTACCCTCTGTAGCTTAATGATTTTTAAGGTTAAAAATACAGTAATGAAATACTAAAACTTAGCTTTGTCTTATTGAAATTTCCATTTAGAAGAGTGACTGTTACTGATATCAGAAAAATGAGACCAGTTTAAATATTTTAACCTTGTCATTTTTGTGTGTACCTTTGGGAGAGTACCTTCTAGCTCCCTTTTTGTATATCTGGATAGAAAAGTGTTCCTGTTTGTTAAATATTAATAAGCTATTTTTTTTTAATCTAGCCTTAGCAAATGCAACATTATGTATTCTTGAACCCATTATGTCTGTGGAAGTTGTGGCCCCGAATGAATTTCAGGGAACAGTGATTGCAGGAATTAACCGGCGCCATGGGGTAATCACCGGACAAGATGGAGTTGAGGACTATTTTACACTGTATGCAGATGTAAGTACTGTTGGTCACTGCCAGTCTTGCTTTTATTAACCACAGCAGGAAATTAGAGTTAGTTTTTGTTTTGGGATATTGTAGAACGAATTGACACATTTCCCTGGCTATTTGAGTGTTGAATTTGTGGCTTTTATATATATATATATATATGGCAATTTCTATAATTTGCTGTTAGAGCCTCTCTTAAGTGCAAAAGCTGAAAATATAGTTCATTTCATGTAGGCCTTTTGTGAATATGTTCTTTTCTTAGATATTTAATTATCTTTCTCATTATAACTTTATTTGCAACGGTGCTTTATTTATGTTCTAATTTGTTGGGCTAATATTTAATTTCCTTTCTCGACCTAAATCTCCCGGGAGAAAGTCTTTTATCACATTCCAGAAGCTTCCTAGAAGACAGTGCAGTCAGCATGTCATCAAGGTGTCCCAAGGAAAGTTGTTTGATCAGTTTCACAGGAGAAACACTTCTGAGTGCTGAGCTGGCCAGAGAGTGGAGTGGGGATGGGGGAAGGCTGTCCGTGATGGCCACTGTGTGCAACCAAAACATTTGGTCTCCAGTTGTGACTGTCAAATGAAATTATATTCAAATAGGATTTCTACTTGCAGTAAAACAAAAATAAGTTTCTCTTTGGCTAAAGTTCTTTTAAAACAAGAGTTGTTAGTAGAAACCTAAGTCTAAAGCAGTGGTTGGCAAACCGGGGCTCGCGAGCCACATGTGGCTCTTTGGCCCCTTGAGTGTGGCTCTTCCACAAAATACCATGTTTTTAGCAAAGGCCAGCTTAGGAGTACCCTAATTAAGTTAATAACAATGTACCTACCTATATAGTTTAAGTTTAAAAAATTTGGCTCTCAAAAGAAATTTCAGTCGTTGTACTATTGATATTTGGCTCTGTTGACTAATGAGTTTGCCGACCACTGGTCTAAAGGAATTAAATGGCTATTCTCTGTTTTTTTCTCAGATATTTTCAATAAGCAGTGCTAAAATATCTACTGTGTTTGTTTCTAGGTCCCTCTAAATGATATGTTTGGTTATTCCACTGAGCTTAGGTCATGTACAGAGGTAAGCAAGTATTTAAGTTTTACTTTAGTGCCCTTTAAGAGACTACTCTACAAAAGGATGGAATTTGTAAAATCTTGTCTTGCATGACTTTACCTGATAGTTATAAAAAGTTCTTTAAAATCTCTGTTATTTTTTTTTTTTTAACTCCCAGGGGAAGGGAGAGTACACAATGGAGTACTGCAGATACCAGCCATGTTTACCAGCCACACAAGAGGACCTCATTAATAAGTATTTGGAAGCTACAGGTCAACTTCCTATAAAAAAAGGAAAAGCAAAGAACTAACTTTACTCATTTACATTGGCTAACTTTAACTGAATCTGCAGGGCTTGGATATTTTAATAGCTTCCAGTGGAATGAATTCAGGCAGAAACAAGAAATTTTAGAAGCCCTTTCTGTTATATTCAGGAGCTCCTATCATATCAAAGTTAATTCTATGTACCAGATATATCTCAACTCTATTGAATGGTTTTATAGTTCACTGAAAAAAACTCAAATAAAATATGATTATTACTGTTATATATTTTATATTTATTTTAAGTGGAAAGAGACATATCAGTTACACGTCTAGGCTTAGGATGTGTGTAACCTTCCTTTTCAAATTTTTATCATAAGAATTTTTAACAAAGAAAAACTGAAAGAACAACCATATACCTTCCGTCTAGTTTCAACAATGAGCAGTTCTGTTAACAATTTGTTAATCTGATTATTTGTTTTGCAATATTTGTTTTATCTGTTTGTTGTCTATATGTCTCATACTTTTATATTTTTAATTTTTAAAAAATTATTTTTTTGCTAAACACTTGAAAGTGAATTGCACATATCATGACACTTCTTGAAGTGTCATCTTTAACAGGCAGGCTTTTTTATTTAAGAGTAGGTTCCATATGGTCTTAATAGAGTACATTTTTCAGATTCTTCATTGGTATATTAAAATACCTGCTAAATGTCTAGCTGTTTTATGTAGAGCTGATTGTTTTCATCTGCAAATGTGTAGCTGCCTTCTGTTAGGAGTGTTGATGTTTCTTTCTTGTGGACCTATGAGGTAAAAAACAGGCCCTTGCACATGCACTTCTCACTTACGTTCATCTGAAGGTTTCTGCAGCTCTAAGTAATGAAATACACATTTCAGAGTTCCCGCCTAATCAGTTCATTCACCTACTGAGTGCTAGTTGAATTTGGAATTTATCATCTAATACTCATTGAGATCATGAAAGAACAAATGTTAAGCTTTTGTTTTTGAAGTAAGTTGGACTTCCCTGGCAATTCTACCATATTGTTCAGAATCACTTTATCCCAAAATCATGTGATGTAATAGACATATCCAAATTATTTTCCTTAGTGAATAATAGAAATAAAATAACGTTTAAATTCCTTTGTTTTTCTTGATTTGGTTTTATAACTTAAGGTTTCTAGAAAAAAAGATTTTTTAAAAGTATTGAGCACATGTTTTCAAGGCATTTGCTAAGTGCTTTAAATGCATTATCTAATTTAGTTTTCACTCCCCTGTGAAAGTAGGTACTATTGGTCCATTTTGTAATAGAGGAAGCAAAAGTGCAGAGAAGGCAAATCACTTGTCTAAGACCATGCAGCTCGGTCAGTTTTCAGTTGATAACTTAAATTGATGATTCATCATCTCAAGCACATTTTTCCCCATGAATATGTCTGTTGCTATAATACCATCAAGCCTGAAAAATGTTGTTGCATTGGCATTTCATCAGCATCTCATGCCATTCAAAATAACATAGAATATTGTTCCTGAGGAAGAAATGCTTTCATGGAATTTAGCACAGTTCCTCTGGCTATTGCCAGCAGTCATAAAAATTAGAACTAAGATGGGCAAATGTTGATGTTTTTAACTTGTTAAACATTCTGGTCATAAAGATATAGTATCAGAAAAGAGCTTAGTTATCTAATCCAACACCAACATTTCATAGGCAACAACACAGGTCTAGCTGGTGGGAGTAAGTAGAATAGGATTTCATTGGAACAAATCCAGGACCAGAACCCACACTTCCTGCTAACTCATTAGGTTATAGTTGATCAAAGACCATATATCAGCCAAGGTCTGTAGCGAGAAAGAAATCAATGGAGACTACTACAGTTGTGAAGGATAAGTGTTGGTTAATTTAAAGAAAGACGGTATTGCTTGTATTAAAGAATGGTAGCAGCACAATCAGTATTGCCCTGATTCCTGTCCCTACCACTCTTAGAAAGTCACCTGGGGAGCTTTGAAAGAAACACCCAGGCCAACCCCAGGTGGTCTGATTCTCTGGATCAAGATCAAAAGTTTCCCAAGTGATTATAATAGCAGGTAAGGTTAAAGACAACTGCAGTGTTGCCTGCACCTTCAAGATGTGAAATGGAAGATTGATTCAGGTGTGTCCTGTAACTAATTATTTTGTGTGATGTTAGAGTTTGGGCTAGTTGTTCTTAGTTTGATAACTGTACCTTAAAAGAAATACAGGCAATTTTCTGTTATTACTTTCCTCCTTGCTCACTCTCAGATTGTTTAGTTGTGAAATCACTGAAATTTTGTTAATTCTGAAGTTTTATTTTAATATTTTTGAAATGTGGATGAGTCTTAAAATTTATGTCAGTGAAACTAGGCAGCCACGAGGTAGTAGTAAATTATGACATGATGGAATACATCTCTTTGTGGAAGACAGCTATTTGTATTGCTAACTCTATAAGTTGTTGAATTTGAGCTTTAATTGCTGCTTAAAGTGTTTCAAATAACACTGGAATGCATCATTGAAACAGTTAATTGTATTCAAGACAATTTATTGTGAACATTTATTCAAGTAAGTGCCAGGGAACATTTATTCAAATAAGTTAGGTGACTGTAGCACTCTGAAAGCCAGGGAAGGTCACAGAATAGGTTCTAAGCTGAGAAAAAATTGATGTAATAAACTCATGTCATGAAGGACTATCATTTAAGGGCAACTGTAGAAACTCCCAACTGACTCTCAAAAGAACTTATTTAACTTCTATCAATTCATAATTCAGGTAAGAAAAAATGAAACTGAGTAGAATCAAATAGAATGTAGACAAAATTCTGGTACTATTGGGTATGTTTTAAAGTTCTGAAAGAGGCTAAGAAAATTAATGTGATGCTGTATGTAACTGTCATTGGCTCAGAGTGATTCAGAATTTGGACTTAATGAAAGAGGGCTTGGGGAATTTAGAGTTTTTCATGTTATGTCAAGGTCAGTGAAGTAATTTTCCTCTGCAGTAAGCTAGCAAAATCAGTATTATTAAAATCAAATCAGCAATTTTTAGAGTTTTTGTTAGATAAGATGTTCTAATGTGACACTGAGAAACTTTTAGTAGGTTTAACTTTTGTGGGTTTTGTAAATTTACAAATTAGGTAATTGTGTTTGTACGTTGTCTCTGTGTGTATAATTCCCCTTCATAATCAATTACACTGAAATAAACCTGTTAAAGGGTTACCTTAGAGTTCTTACCTGCTTGAATGATGGTTATACTTGAGTGTAATCTCACTAATTAAAAATGCCTTTATGAGGGTGAGGTGAGACTCTGGAAAGCTGAAACCCTTCTAGCCCTTAAGCTAAAGATCACAGGGCATTGAATATGCCATTCCAATGCTCTTGGCACCATTTTTTAACATTATGTAGGGAACTTCAGTTAGAGGAGTTTATCCTTTGGTTTGGGCATGACTTAATCATTATAGATTGCTATTTTAGAAAAATATTTTCTCTGCCACAGGTGGGGAATCTGATGTTTTCTTTAAATGACTGTCTCCCAGTGCTTCAGAATACTTACTGCTCTTTAAGTTGAGTGCATGTTGGGAAGATGAATGTAGAGGGTTGGGGTTTTAAAATATATATATATACTAGAGGCACGGTGCACAAAAATTTGTGCACTCGGGGGGAAGAGAGGGTCCCTCAGCCTGGCCTGTGCCCTCTTGCAGTCTGGGACCCCTCGGGAGATAACGAC